CAGACTGAGACTCCATCTTAAAAATACATACATACATACACACATTTCCCATCCTGGGGTCGTTCATATCAGCCTAACTGTCAGAGTTTAGGCAAGCAGTGAGCATCCACAGTGGTTCACATCACCAATTTGGTTGAACTGGTTTCGAGTCCTGGCTCTGCAATGAGTTTGCTGTGTGACCTTAGGCAAATCAATGAACCTCTCTGATCCTCAGTTCCTGGGCATCGGTAGTGGTATCTTCCTCAGGGGTTGCTGTCTGGACTACATGAGATGATGCAGGTAACGGGCTTAAGACAGTGTCATGCTTAAAGCAAGGGTCCAATAAATGTGACCTAGATCACTATTGTTACTATTCAACCAACAAACATTTCTTTTTTTTTTTTTTAGAGACAGTCTCGCTCTGTTGCACAAGCTGGATTCAAGCGATTCTCATGCCTCAGCCTCCCGAGTAGCTGGGATTACAGACATGCGCCACCACACCTGGCTAATTTTTGTATTTTTAGTAGAGACTGGGTTTCGCCATGTTGGCCAGGCTGTCCTGAACTTCCGACCTCAGGTAATTTGCCTGCCTCTGCCTCCTAAAGTGCTGGGATTACAGGCATGAACCACTGCCCCTGGCCTAGGAAATTTAAAATTACATTTGTGGCCAGGTGTGGTGGCTCACACTTGTAATCCCAGCACTTTGGGAGGCCAAGATGGGAGCATCACTTGAGGTCAGGAGTTCAAGACCAGCCTGGACAACACAGCGAGACTGCCGTCTCTATTTGAAAAAAAAAAATAATAAAATAAAACTACATTTGTGGCTCTCATGATCACTAGCATTGGCTGAGAGGAAGAAATATAAATGAATTGACTGAATGCAGTGGCTCTTGCCTACAATCACAATACTTTGGGAGGCCGAGGCAGGAGGATTGCTGGATTCCATGAGTTCAAGACCAGCCTGGGCAACATCGAAAGACCCCATCTCTACGAGAAACTTTTAAAAAGAAGTAGATACCGGGTGCAGTGACTTATGCCTCTAATCCCAGCACTTTGGAAGGCAGAATCGGATGGATCACAAGGTCAGGAGTTCGAGACCAGCATGGCCAATATGGTGAAATGGTGAAACCCCATCTCTACTAAAAATACAAAAATTAGCTGGGCATGGTGGCGGGTGCCTGTAATCCCAGCTACTCAGGAGGCTGAGCAGGAGAATTCCTTGAACCTGGGAGACAGAGGTTGTGGTGAGCC